AGCAGCTAAAGAACATTAGTTCTATGCAGGTTGATTTAACACTTTATTAGGATTTGGTTAGACTATTTAGGTACCCTCTTCTAAGTTGAATGTTTCTCGCTTTTATTTAAAAGAAAACAAAACTCTTCTGCCTGTTTTATGTCGTTGACAAGGCTTTATAGGGCTGTTCTTTGTAATTACTTGACAGTCTTTGTATTCACGTATACCTTCTCATCTTATCACGAAATAATTACTTACGTTGTCTTATGGAAAGTCTCATATTATCTCAGCTAAAGACGAAGAAGAGTTTGTAATAATTGTAAGAGCTAAACTCTATTCAGAAGTCAACACTTAATAAAAAGAAGAAGTCAACCTTGAGGTTTAAGGTCAAGTGTCACTAATAAAAAATGTGAAAGAAAGCCCAATTGATCAAAAAAAGCATTGTTGAGGTAACCAAGCATCTAGAATTTAATAAAATATACTAAAATATTCCAAACAACACTAAAGAAAGGTAAAAGAAATGTTGTATTTAGTTTATGTTATATTTAGTTTAAATATTTTGTATAAACACAAGTTCTTTAATTCTTATTGTTTTTTCCTGTATTGTACAACTTACCTTAAACGTATGCAATACCTAAAATATAATTCATACCTAATAAGGTTTTTTGTTATATTCCACCTTTTATTTTTTACTATCTTGGTTTATCTATCTCTTCCTTTTTCCGTAAACACGACTTTATTAAATACAGTTAGGTTTAATAAAAATTTTATTGTTTTAACATCTTAATATAATAAAATAATCAGTACTATCACTATCATCACGAGGTTCAGGAATAATATAAACAAATACACCAGTTTAAAAAAAATTAAACTTGATCATTTTTAATTGACACTATGAAGAAGTAATACAGTTAAAAATTACCTAAGCTTAATCTGAATTTCATTTAGTGTTCGTTTGGTAGTTTCTAAGTAATAGAATTTAACAATTACAACAGCAATTACTAAAATAACCAACGAAATATAAATATCAATATAATAATTTACTAATAATTTAATTTGGTTTATTTCCAAGACGAACAAGTGAACAATAAACAATACGGCTGTCGAAATACCAGCATATATTCCTTTCTTGTCAAGAGGGAATATTTCTCCTAGTAATACAAAGCGGATTGGACCAGCACCTACATTACAAGTTGTAGTAAACAAAATATATAACAAAAAGTTTGCGTTAGCCGAATATGTTTTCCATATGGTAAAAAGTAAAAATGCCATTAGTATCAAAATCATTCCTCCAAACGATAGCATAAGGGTCCATTTTCTACCAACTGTATCCACAACAAATAGAATAAAAAACGAAGAAAGGAATGGTACGATACCTAAAAAATCATTTGTATAAAAAAATGTGTGTTTAGCAATGTTAAATAATATTTAAACTATCCCATTAAGTATATAATACAAAACCTATTCCAATAAAATAATAAAACAAATCAACTAATCACGCCTATACATTTAACAGAATGTGTTTATTAGAAAAGATTAAACAATTCTCTAGGTAGAATACAAGTTTGTGGTACCTGTATATCATCAGTTCATCTAAAAAATTATTACAATATGAGAACCACACAATCATGGAAACGATGTTAATTGTTACCTTAAAACGATATGTAGCAGTCAATGTTATTAACAAATATGTGAATGAAACTAAGTAAATGGACATAGTACGCTGATCTTGTATAAACAGTTAAGCAACTATACAAGATATACAAGATACAAGATATACAAGTTTATACAAGATCAGCGTACTATGTCCATTTACTTAGTATCATTCACATATTTGTTAATAACATTGACTGCTACATATCGTTTTAAGGTAACAATTAACATCGTTTCCATGATTGTGTGGTTCTCATATTGTAATAATTTTTTAGATGAACTGATGATGCTTTCAAAACTCGAAAGCGAAACGTCTTCAAAATAGATAAAGTAGCCTATCAACTTTGTCTTTTATTTCTCCACCTAGAGACCGATATAAGAACCCACCACTCGTCTGAGTGATCCTTATATATATATATTGGATTGACGGTCGTACTCCTTTTTCCGATATATATATATATATATATATATATATATATATATATATATATAGTACGAAGAAACTATACTGTCAACATTCTGTCAGAAATATAAACTAGACCGAATAAATTTACTTAATCTACTCGTTCTAAATTTTATCTTTTTTTTTCCTCAAATAATTCAACCAAGCATTTTTCCTTTCGCCACACGCATTCGTTGTTCCTTTCTTTTTAAATTGATCAACATTTAGTTTCTGTCACACAACACACCATTCGCTTTGTTTCACTTCATTTATTCGCACTTAACTTTTTAATTCTACTTCATACATCCCGATCTATTTCCCCACTACTCTGTAACATAGAGCCTAAGTTAATATAGACTCAAGGTGAATGAATATCATATTAGCGTTTGTTTCTTTGTCTGTATTTTCCATTAACTACCTTAAACTAAAAATTGCATCAGCTTTTGATTTGCCTTGCATAAAGGCAAGGTTTTCTTTACGTATCACGTCTATCAATTACAGCTTAGACATAGTTTTGTAGCCCTATAGACTATACATTGTGGTATATATTCTCTGATTTTTAAAAAAACTCTAATATACTGAAACTCTATTCGTCAGTATTGTTCTGAAGCTATTTTCTTGTGCCATTTTAAATTAATTACTATTTAACTGGGAATAAGCCACAATTAAAGATAAAAATACGTTTATTGACGTTTCAATTTCCACTTCGGAAATCGTTCTCAAAATACAAACAGTAAATTTACTTTAAATAGTATTTAAATAGTAAATAATCTATTCGCCAGGTATTTGTGCTACTTCCAGAATTATATTAAATAAAGCTGTCAGCTAACTTGCCACTATTTCCCTTATGCTGTCCAGACTTCCCCAGCAGTATCATCTGGTCCCGCTTCTTTTCCTTTCCATATTTTTTAACGTGCGTGAGCCACTTCCGCGCTTGTTAGTTTGGTGGTAATTACTGTTATAGTCCCCGTTAAATCAACAGATTTTCTGTCAAATTTATAGGTATTTAATAAATTGGCAAGGTACTTTTTCATTTCGTTTTGACATCCTTTTCGTAAGTAACTATTTTATTACTTCCATTTCGGAAACATTTGATCTGATTAAAATATGTTTCTTTCTTTTCTCTGTGTTTGACTATTTATATATCTTTGTCCTTTCCTGGTATCAAGTTGATCGTATAGATTTGGGATTTTAGGTTTTTAAGGATCTGTGCCTGGCGTTGTACCTGTTTATATAATTTTCTCTTCTCTTTTATTTTTTCTTGCACTTTGTTGGATCACCAACAGATCTCTTTATTATCATACTTCTTTCATAATAATTAAAAAAAGTATTTCACTTACTGACGTACTGAAAAGTATTTCAATGGCAGTAACTCTAACGATACTGCCCGTCTTCTTCCAAATTATATTAGGGAATTCTTTTGTGTTCAAACATATTTTTCTTCTAATTTTGGTCTAAATAGACCTTCTTTATCAACTTTTAACATCCAATATTTAATTTTTTGTGGTACTCTCCGTCATTTTAATTTATTCCTTTTTAATTCGATATTACCAGTAGCAACTTATATTGCTTGCTTATTGTCTTGCTAACTGCTACTTTACAGTCCTTATGTTCATGTATATTTTCATTTCTTATTATTCAAATAATCTATCTGGGATTATATTCGTCTGTAAAATTGATACTAAGTAGATATGGATAACAAAAAAATACTTTTACTACATATAGGACTTTACTTTACATACTTCTAAGAAAACTTTGGAAATAATATTAACCATGATGGTAAACATAAGACAATAAAATTTCCTACTCACCACAAAACATTAAAAAAGTAAAGTACATATTGATCTCCATGAAGAAATGAAAATGTCATTTTTGGAGAAAAAAATATAGATAACATGTTTAATTTTTATAATTATTGAACTATGACCAATAACAGATCAATGAAGGACAAGCACATTTTACAGCAGTACATGTGTACAAAGCTGTTAAAAATTTACAAAATTTGTGGACAGAAGACTAATAATTATTCTTATCATAAAAATGTGAGAGTAATTAAATTATGTATGTAGTTTTATAAAAACTAATAAAAGAAAGTAAGGGCAAAGACTGGAACTATGATATAAATGCAATCAGTAGAGATTAATTGATGGATAAAATGGAAGAAGGTGAGATATGTGTTGTGTGACACAATAAATTTAATGTCACTGAAAACCAGATTCAATAAAATCATTTATGGTATAAACGAGTGATTTTTCAACAGCTAACATAAAGAGCAAATGCAGGTTGCTGTAGGAAATGATAAATAAAATAGGACAAAGGAATTGAACTGAAAATAAATATTTTAACAAAGGTATTAACATTAAAATAAGATTATTGAATAAAATCGTTGGGTACCTTCGGTATCGTAATTATAAAAACTTAACACAAATCGTCAAAACGACATAAACGCCAAATAATTTTTCAATTTCCTGGATGAAGAAAAGATGAAGACCAAAAGAGACGTGTTGAAAGTTCTCTCGCCAAGGCAGATTTTAAAAAGGATTAATATCAGTATTGTCTAGGTGAGCAGGTATGGTCTGACATAGAAATATATGCTGAACAAATAATAGAGACCTAAAATTAAGATAAACATAAAGGGCAAAAAAAATTTTAAAAAATAAAAAAAAATCCAGAATATTTCCAAAAGTTAAATTTAGAAATATCCTGGTCCCTATAAAGCGGTTGTTATAAATTTTTAATTATTGTCTTTCCATATATTGAATAAAATAAACAATAATGACAATTCTATTTTTTATAAATGTTACTAACATAAAGCAACACCCATTCAAATGATACATCACTTTAGGTATTCACGATCTTTCTTTTTTTTTGCAAGAATTGCTAAAGGTAAGTAGTTCTTAGTTAGTAATATTTCAAACATACTTACTAATGATTATTCCTAGTGCCACAGGATTAAAAGAGCTGGAAGAAATTGAACTCAAGGCGTAACGGGGAAAAACATAAACTGCATATGTAAAAATATAAACTCCTACCATTAGTAGTAACGGTTTTATCCAACTTCGTTTGGTCGAGTAAATTTTACCAGCTTCAGGTTCAATACTTTTTATAGATTTTATGCCACTTTGAATTTCATTATACTCCAACTCAGTGTTTGCCAAAAAATTCCGTATATATGTCAAATTTTGTTTAGCTAATTCTTCTTTTCCTGTATTCAAATAATAATAAGGTGTTTCTCTTACAACTGTCCCTGTTAAAAGTATACCAAACATTGCCAGTATTATAGAACTATAATTTTTAAAGGGCATCATATCAGTTTCATAAAAACCTGACATAACAAGTCTACCTATAATTATTAAAAATATCCCCAATTGGTGTGATGGATACAAAAGTGCAATTAATCTACCCCTTATGTCTTTTGTACTTATTTCCCCAATAAAAATTGGTATCACCGCATACGTTCCACCTATTGATAGACCTGCTATAAAACTTGCCCCGCAACCAACCACATAATTCGAAGTTGCTTGAAACATAATTGAAGATATCAGTAATGGTAAATATATCGCGGTTATTGTACGCTGTCTTCCAATTATTTCGGCCAATGCACCAAAAAATAAGGATCCGATTAGTCCTCCCAGTTTGGACGATATAATAAACTTGGTTATAAGTGAAACGCTAATTTCGTTTATACGCAAAAACCTATAAACCTGAAACTGGTAACTAATTTCGGTCATTCCAGCGTGTACCATAAGTAGACATCCTGTAATAATGATTGTAAATAATATGCAAGTGTAAATTGTAAGTAATATATAAAATACATATGAATGAATACATAAAGATAATTCACTATATTCAGAAAGAAAAAGTATAAAAATGAACTAAATAAGATCGAATGTGAAAATTATATTATACACTATATTGGTTATAAACAAAAAATTACCAACAAAGTAAAATTTAAACAGTCGATAAAGTTCTAGATAAAAACTAAACAAGCTTCAAAACAGATTAACGAAGTGATTAATACATTTTTTGGAAAAAAATTTCAAAGCGATATTGAAAAAAAAGATATTGTTTGAAAGACAGTTTGTGTGAATTTTTGGTGAAAAAGTAAAATATATTACCTATATAATATATAGATAATATATTTTACTTTTTCACCAACAATTCACACAAACTTTCTTTCAAACAATATCTTTTTTTTAAATATCGTTTTGAAATTTATTTCCAAAAAATATTAAATTTAAAATATAAAATAAAACATATTTCTTAAGTAATGTATTCTTTGAGTTCGTCTAAGTTTTCTGGTCTCATTAGTCGAAAAACTTTGTTTTTGAGATCATAAAAAAAGTCGAGTAGAGTAAGATTAGGGAATTTTATTGACCACGAAGTCTCACTTCCTCTATCAATCCTTGTATTTGCCCCAATATATTAAATTTAAAAATATTTTAAGAAGTAATTGGGTAAATCATGTAAACTTACAATTAATTATTGACTGTAATTAGGAATAAAATCACAATGTATAACGTTGTTTTTTTTTTCACTTAAAAAATAAGAATTTTTACCAAGCATGTATTAAGGCTCATCTCAATGCAGGTCTGTGCATCCTCATAAACTAAATTGGTGGAATAAGTAAGTGGAAGAAAAGATAAAAAAGAAAAAAGTATATCAAAAGTTATTACAACAGGAAGACGAATAAACATAAACAACAATATAAAAATTTGATGAAAGAAGTCAAACGAGCAGTGGTTAAAAAGAAAAATAAAGCATGGGAACAAAAATGACAATACCTAGATAACCATACAGGAGGAACAAAGAGCTCTGAAGCCAGGAGAACTATAAAAACAATGAGAACAACGACAAAAAACCAAGTCATAATAAATAGAATACAAGAGGGGTACACATGGGTAGAGCATTTTGAGAACTTATTAACAGAGAGAAGAGAAAGGTTTAAACAGACAAATTAAAGTGTAAGTAGAAGGAAGAATTAAAATATCAATAGAACAAGTAAAAGAAGCAGTTAAGGAAAGGAAATTAATAAAATCTCCAGGCCCAGGTGGGATACATCCAGAGTTGATTAGATATGGATCATCAAAACTGTTTAAAATGATCCGAAAATTATTCGAAAGATGCTTAAACGTAGAAGAAGTTCCAGAAGAATGAAGACAATTGTATACCTCTCTAATACAAAAAAAAACAAAGATGGATCCTAAAAACTATAGAGGTGATTGCTACTATAGGCCGACTATACTCAAAAGTACTACGAAACCTGATAGAAAATGATATTAAAGACAAACTACCCAAAGAACAAGCGGGATTTAGGACCGGACGCTCCACTGTTGATAATATTTTCACATTAAAAATTGCAATGGAAAACCGATAACAGAGAAATAGAGAAATGGAAAAACGATTACAGAGAAATAGAGAAACCCATATAGCTAATAGAATGGATAGAAATGGGTAACTTAAAAATACACCCAAATCTTATGCAGGCCATTCACGTTCCGACTTGTGGTACGACTAGTGGTCCAACTTCTGCAGTTGGATCTGAAATCGGACCGTAAATGGGCTAGTTGGATTAGTTGAACAACTAGTGGTACGACTCGGAACGTCTAGTGGGACGACTTGAAGGTCCGACTTCCGACTGGCGACGAAGTCGGAGCGTGAATGGTGAAGTTGGAAGTCGGATCACAGATTGGATCGAAAATTTTCTCAGTCAGTTGACCTTCGGCACCTGTTACGTATGAGATTTTTATGAAATACTTTACGCAAAGATCTCAAGTTTGCGAATATTTAATAGAAAATAAACTTTCAATTGCACGAAAATTACCTTTTTGTTAGGGCAAATCATTTTCCTTTCTGTAGATCTATTTCGAACATTCCCATACATGTAGATTTCCGATACTCCGGATTGGCTACGGAAGAATTGTCAACAAACAATGAAAATTAAATCATAGTTGTAGCAAAAGATCCCTAGTTCGCAAAAAAATTAAAGGAAATTACTTTCAATTGCTCGAAAAATTATTCCTATTAAAAATATACGACACACACACACACACACAACAAAATAAATCCCAGCTCCAGTTTAAAACAAATAAAATATATATTTTATACCTACACAAATCTTTAAAAACTATAATTTATTCCTACATCTTAAAAAGTTACAAAAATCAAGAGTTGAAAAAATTAATTAGTTCAGCCCTAGACAAATAACTAGAGAAACGAAACCTAATTTTTAAACATACATATCATAATATATATTATATTTTGCGTAGTGTTTATTTGATACATTTTAGAACTGAAGTTGGTCCGCTAGTTGGATACAAAGTCGGAGCGTGAGTGGAGACGAACATCCAACTAGTAGTCCTACTAAGTGGGACCACAAGTCCGAACGTGAATGGCCTGTCTTACTAACGCCACTTAAAAATACTACGAACAAAACTTTGCAAGAATTAAAATGAGACAAAAAATCACCTGTCCTTTTCAAACAACAAAGGGACTAAGACAAGGCTGCTGTCTGTCATGCCATGAATATGAATATGACAAAATGTGAATATCTCTCAGTGGGAACAGATGAAAAATGTGACTAGTCTTGGAAGAAGACAAAATTAAAGGCGTGAAATCCTGCAAATATTTGGAGGTTATTTTTAACAAGAAGTCAAATAGCGCAGATTAAATCAGGGAAAGAATAAGCAAAGGCAGAGCAGCGACTCGTGCCTAAAACTTTCTTCTCTGGCAAAAAACAATTCGATGAGAAACCAAAAAACACATTTACGGTAGTATAGTCCAAAATATTAAACTTTACGGTTCGGAAGTACGGGACGTCACCAAAGCTAATAGAAACAAACTTATTACGACAGAAATGGATTATCTGAGGCAAAGCTGCGGTAGATCGAAACCAGAGAGTTAGAAACGAACAAATATAAAACGAAATAAAAACGGAGCAAAATATCAATGATGACATAGAAAGAAAACAATTAATCTGGTACGGACATGTTAAAAGAATGTTAGAGTACAGATGGCCTATAAGAGTACTGAAATGGACCTCTTCTAAAAGGAGAAAGGGAGAACGACCACAGAGAAGTTGGCGCAACAATATTGATGAAGCAATGGCGGTAAGAGACTTCGAAGAGGTAACTACATATGACATAAAAAGATGGAAATTTTGAGCGGAGACACGGCGACAGCCGTAATCAATCCGCTATTATATATCAACGAATCAGAAGTTACTGTCTCCAAAACAACAAAAAAAGTTCTGAAAACACCATTCGGATTTTCGCATGGTGTTTCTCAACATTTCAGGGGAAAAATTATATATACATGTTAGAACAATAAGAGTAGGGTCGTGAAATTTTGGTCTTCCAAGTAATTGTATGGCATTGGTAGATTCGCTTAAAAAAAGAAGAGTAAAAATGGCTTGCAATACCGAATTGAAAAGGAAAAAGGGAGAAAGAACTAGGTAAAGGATACAAATTTTTGTATATAATAAGAAGAACACTAGCAATGAAGATGGTATAATTTTTAATAGAAAAATAAAAGATACCGTAGTAGCAGTTCTATAAAGGAGTAAAAAAATATTGACAGTGAAATATGTGTTTGTTAAAGAAGTGTTAAATATTTTGTGTGTGTATATCCGAGATGAAAATAATAATATACTAGTTCATGAAAAGATATTAACAAGCTATAAAAAAAGCACTTCGGCAGTTTATTAAATGTCCATGTATATATATATATATATATATATATATATATATATATATATATATATATATATATATATATATATATATATATAGGAATATCCATTGATGGAGAATACCATTTAATAAACATTTAATAAACTGCACTTCGGTAGTTTATTAAATGTCCATGTATATATATATATATATATATATATATATATATATATATAGGAATATCCATTGATGGAGAATATCCATTGATGGAGAATACCTCAGCCATCTGAGATTTGCCGATGACATCGTGCTCACTGCTAATAATCCTGCAGAACCAAAAAAACTTGAAGTTGTGCTAAAAATAAACTTGACAAAAACACAAACCATGTACAACGAGCTAGTGGATGTCCAATATGCAACAATAACACAACACTGCACTTGAGACAGTAGATGAGTATCTATACCTGGGAGAATTAATACATAAATTTTACTCCTTACTTTCTTTAGGGTAAAGGATGAGGTAGCTGGTTCGATGAATTAAAAGTAAATATTTGAAAAATTATGATCTCACCTTTCTACATTTGGTAGATAAAAAATGAATAAAACCTCGAAGGATCAGCGACCATATGTTGCCGGTTCGCAAAAATTGCTGGAAACCGAACACTCCCGATGAAGTTTTACAATTTTAAAATTATTTTGTCCGCGGTAAAATCACTGTCACTGTTTGAGTTTTTTTAAAAAAAGATTGTCCAGGTGCACTCGATGGTGATTAGTGATATAAGTAAAGAAATTGATAGGGCAATTGTATGTAAAAAGCAATAGATAAAAGAATTATAATAAAAATGTCATTTTGACAAATAACTTTTTATTGAAAAGTAATAGAATTATTATTAGAAGAATGTCATTCTGACAAGAAATCCGGCTTGATAAAGACCAAAATAAATGTAGGGGAAAGGATGAGGTAGCTGGTTCAATGAATTAAAAGTGAATATTTGAAAAATTATGATCTCACCTTCCTACATTTGGTAGATAAAAAATGAATAAAACCTCGAAGGACCAGCGACCATGGGTCGCAAAATTACGGATTATTAATTATGTACTGAGTAGTGAACTTTACAATAGAATAATTAAAATAAAAATAAAAGCTAGAAATCTTTTTATTATATTATTTACAAAAATAAATAAAAAAGCAGAATCGCCAACAAATCACCCTTTTTATAATAATAAAATATAAATGTTTATATACAATGTTCTTAAACACAACTTTTTATATTAAGTTATAGAACAATAAAGTTTATAGGTAGATTATTGAATATTCGGCAACCCTGTAATTTGTCGGACCGGCATTCATGAAATGTTGGCACGAAACCGTAGATTATCTTCTGCATAAACGAATAATTTCAGATACTTTCATACTCGATGCACAAACACTGAATTTAGTTTAATTAACTATTTAATGAAATATGTTATTTAAAAACTGCTTCTATTTGAGAAGCGTGAGAACTATCTTGCTTCTATTGGAGAAACTGAGAAAAAAATTGACTTGCGTTCTTCTATTTGAGAAGGCAAAAACGAAGTGGCGTTAGGGGTAGTTTTGTTTGAATGAATAGCTTAATGTAAAAACAGTACGAAGAAGGGGTGTCGTGCTGATCGTATAGACTTTAATTATTAAAATAAAAAACAAACTATGTAGAAAATATAATTAATTTTCTACACTTCCAGAAATCAACAGAAGAATGAAACTGGCTTGTGCTTTTTTTTTTGGTACAAATATTTAAATCGAAGATGTTAATTCACCTGAAGAAAAATGCATTCAATCAATGGATACTACTAATCATGACATACGGCTGCGAAACATGGACACTCAAAAAGGAGATAATATTGAAACTCCAAGTCACTCAAAGGTGAATGGAGCGATGCATGCTAGGTATAATAAAGAGAGATCGAAAACGAATACAATGGATCAGATAGAAAATCAAGGTTACTGATCCATAGAAATCCATAGAAATGAATCCTTAAAATGGCAGTGAACGTGACATTTAGCGAGGAGAACTGACAATAGGTAGTCCACTAGAATTACACTGTGGTATCCAAGAGGCGTCAAAATACCAAGAAGATGTCCTAATTTAAGATGGAACTATGACATATCCGTTCCAGTTTGGGGTTTCAATCTGCCTACTCCCCTCATTCGTGGCGAATCAGTATCTATTTCTCCAGAAATACGAGAACCTTTAAACGGCACTGAAGTCTCAAGCTGCCTACTCCTTAGTATCGAGTGACAATTTTATTAAAATATCTTATAACTTCAGCTGTTTCGGCATAGTACCTTTTTCAAGTGATTTATTTTTGGTATGTCTTTACACTTTATAGTCTTTAACTGAATAGGTTGCGGAAAAACTGTTTGTCTCAATTTGGTCAGTTTTATGTCTTATTTTTTAATTTGTTAAGACCAATATAAAAACTGTTTGGATACGAGATGTATCTGGATTATCTAGAGACAAAGATTTCAAAACATGCCGTGTTAAAACAGTTTTAGATTCGTGGAGATACGTAGACAATGTACTGGTATATTTTACAGGTACTAATAGACAACTTGATCGATGTTTATCGTATAATAATTCACTCCATAATCATATTAAATTTACAATAGCAGAACAAAATCAATTCTGTAATTTTTAGATTTAAAAATCGTCAGACTTAAAAATAAACATGAATTCTCAGTATTTCATAAACCTACCCATACTGACACGATTATACACAATTCACCGTCCCATCCTACATAACATAAACTGTCAGCCTCTCATAGCATGTTAAATAAATTATTAGAAATTCCGATGTCAAAATGCAACTTTAAGATAGAATTAAATGTTATTAACGAAAAAGAAGTAAACAATGGGTACAACGAACATACAATTAATAAATTTTTAAATCAAAAACTACACAAAAAAGCTCTAAAATTAGTATTTCCACCACCAGAGAAAAACACAGTACCTTCTGCTCGATTACATATACAGGCAAAATAACAACAAAAATAGTCAAACACATAAAAAAGAAAGGAATGTATACCAGCTTCTAGAACACACAAAAACTTATATTAGGCAAATATATTAAAAACAACAAGAGCCAAAATAAAAAGCAGTTATACAGTGGTGTATACAAACTTAAATGTGGAGACTGACCAGAAACTTACATTGGTCAAACTGGTAGAAGTTTTAAAAAACGTATAGCAAAACATAAATGCATTTTCAATAGTAGGAAAACAGATTCTATATACGCACTTCAATTTCTAGGTCATAATCATTCTTTTAATGACGAATTTAAAATTCTTCACATCAAAAATATAAAGTCATTGAGCTATCTTTAATAGAATCTATGAAAATTAACAAATTAAAAAAACACAGACATAGTTGTGAATGACCAACTTGAGACAAACAGTTCTTTCCTCCTCAACCTATTTCGATATAAATTGTAAACACATCCAAAAATAGATCACCTGAGAAAGGCACTCTACCGAATCCGTTGTAGTGATAAACTATCAAAATAAAGTTTCTGGAAGTTTTGAAAACAAGGTTTTCAGTATTTTATTGTTATATTTTCTTAAGGTGTTGCTTTTTTTAAAGCTGGTGTTATTCCTTTCTTCTTTATGTGTTTGGTTGATTCTGTTGATATCTTGCCTGTATATATGTAATCGAGTAGATTATTCTGGGTTTTTTCTGTGGTGGTAGAAACAATAATTTCAGGGCTTTCTTATGTAGTTTTTGATTTTTAAATTTTAATAATTATTGATTGTTCGTTGTACACATTGTTTACTGCTATTTGCTAACTAATACTTAATTATATCACAAAGGTATAATTTGACATCGGAATTTCTATTAATCTATGTAACATGCTATGATAGGTTGACGGGTTTTGTTATGTAGAATGGGTCGATAAATTGTGTCTAGTCGTGTCAGTATGGGTAGGTTTATCAAATACGGAGAGCTCATGTTTGTTTTTAAATCTAATAATTTTTAAATCTAATTTATTGAATTATTTTGTTCTGTTTCTATCGTTAATTTAATAGACTATAGAGTAAATTAAAATACGATAAGAATTGATTAAGGTGCCTGTTAGTTCATCACAAACATAACAATACATCATCTACGTATCTCCACCAATAAAAAAACTGTTTAAATATGGGATGTTTTAAAATATTTGTCTCTAGATAATCCATAAAAAATATCTGATAGCAATGGGCTTAGAAGATTCCCAACTATAAGCCAGGGCCGATAATTTTTGAGACCGAAAAAAGAACTAGTAACAGTAATGAAAAATAGTAGAAAGAAAAGTTTCACCATATTTTGTATAAAAAATTGAGGAAGTCACGATAAACCCGTTTTACCTTTTAAAAACTCACCCTACTCTACTTCTTGACGTCAGATCGCCCATAAATTATTTTTCATTTATTTTTTACTATATTTTCTACTGGGTTCTTTCTGTTCTTAATTTAACAAAGGGATTTATTCTGAGATAATTGTTTTACAGTTTTTACAATTTTTAATGGCTGTGGCCATGGTCTAGTAACAAGATTTTAAAATAAAAAAACAATTATTTTACGAAACCAACAATAAGTTATAAAAATAAAAAGGTAAGGTTTGTAATTTTGATATTTTAATCAATTTTCCAAAAACCGAAATATGCACCATTTTTTAACTATAAAATATTTTGCTTAAAACGAGTATTTTATTTTAATATTATTTGATTTAATATGTTAAGAATTCAAGCATATATAATATATATATATATATATATATATATATATATATATATATATATATATATATACATATATATATATATATATATATATATATATATATATATATATACATATATATAGATATATATATATATATATATATATATATATATATATATATATATATATATATATATATATATATATATATATATATATATATATAAGTGTAAGGTGTAATGAGGGAAGGTAATAATCAAACATTAATAATATCAGACCATGATATTCCTAAAATTGGAACTTGTTCTTCACGTTAAATGAGAGTAAATGTAGTTAAATTAAAAGAACTTTCAATTTATGAATAAAAAAATCGACAAATACACGACCAATTTAATGAAATTAAGTTAATTTAGTGGAAGTATATTTACCTGTAGCAACACCTGCGAACATTGCTGAATTTGTCATTTTGATTTTTTTAATACCCTAACAATAACTTTAAAAACTATTATTTTTTCGTTTGCTTATTTAATTTCGTTCTTATCTACTAAAATACTAAGCAACATTCTTAATTTAGTTGTACTTCATTGCACAACGAAACGTAATAGAAGTTTAACGGTATTCCCAAGATTTCATTGGTATTTACCATCGTTTGGGTCGACCCAATGTAGCACCGTTCGGTTGCGCGTTTGCAAAATCTGCTGAAGCAGGGTCTACATACAGAATACAATTCTTTGCGGTTTTGTCGCGGCTGTGCTGCCATTTCAGTACAATTATACTGATTTCAGTAGAATTTAATGAAGTTTATTAGATTAATGTTACATATTACAAATCAGTTGTATAAGTAACTTCATTGATTCGACTTCTTTTTTTTGAACTATGTCGTATAGATTCACCCACTTAAACCAATGAAAGTCCCTTCTATTTTGCATCAGTTCCTAACTGGTAAGATTAAAAAACCCCTATAGATGTCATGTTCTGATAATTATGACTTGTAAAATGTTCAACCAAATATTTTTAAACAAACTAGCTAGCAAAATTTTAAATGTACCTCCTAACGCTGCTATTTCAGAGATAATGTTTTCTTGTGTGAGCCGGATTGGAGAAGAAGGACGTACGAGGTTATTTTTCAATAATTCACTATTTAATTATATCTACGATTTGGGTTTGTAGTTTTATTTAAAAATAGTTTTTTAAGAGATGTTACTTTTTGTCAGTATAATTTTTGAAATATTGTGCGTAAATACTATTACTAAATTAATATAATATAATAGATCCTAAAACGTCTCAACATACGTCGATTACATGTTTATATTTGCATAAAACTTAATGCGTGCATTTTATATGACTTGGCTAGTGACTCACATGTGAATCAAGGGTTCGTAAGTGTAAACCACTTTAGGAATTCATGTACGTTCGTAATATCTAGTAACCGTGAGTGGTTGTTAACGGGAATGGAAAACCACCCACGCGCCCATCCCTAGAAATAACTGATTTATTAGTTCTGTTACCATGAATAGCACGTAAGTTCCACGACATACTCCAATTACGATTTTTGTCAATTTCTTGGTTGTAGATATCAAAGTACCACCCGACAATTAGTAAATACTCCATACACCATTTGTTGTGCTTTATATTTTATACTACCTTTTTCTAAATAAGTAAAAAAACAAAATTTCAGAAGTTTATCTCGATAGCAAAAAGACCAGTATTTCCAATGCTTATGTATTTTCTCTAAATCTTATAATACTTTATATCTCTGTTCAAATTTAGGACCTAATTTATAAGATCATTTTCAAATGATCATTGATCAAATTATTTAATTAAGGTTATCTTATTTAAATTTAGGTTAGGTTATTTATAGCATGACCTTAAAAATATAATACAAGATAGGTCAATTGTTGCAATAGCAGCTTGTTTACCCAGTGCGACAGATAAAACTAACGCAAAGCAATCCCTGCATATGTTTTTAATTAACCAGAGGTTTATCGACCAGTCATTCTATCTTGTATTATATATCTATGGATATGACCACAGACATATTATACAAATATATTAATAGTTGCAATACTCTTTGCAACTCTTTCTAATTTAGCAGGCTTACCGACCACGTTACCTAAATTACCAATGAGAAGGTCACGTGACCGATAAACCAGGAAAATTATAATATCGAGAAGAAGGGTCAGTATTTCTGTCAGTTTTCTCTATCTCACCGGGGAAACGTGACTGTGTGACGTAGTCGGTCTATGAAATTTGTAGTATATGTCTATGGGCATAACCAAAGATAATACATATAATACATATAATACAAATAAACCATCGAGCAAAAAGATAAAAGAGGGAATGTAAAGGTAGTGGGGACAAAAATATTGTTAGACAGGAAGTGCTATCTTGAGAGGCCACTTTAAACAAGGAAAGATAGTCTCTTTCCTTGTTTAAGAAGTCAAATTTAGTTTGGTTGTTATTGTTTGTCCCAACTGTCACATGAAATTTTATTTATATTGAAGTTTTTTACCAATTATGTCACTTTTTAGACTATTATCGTTGATATTTAATTAAAACTTTCTTGTCTGAAACATATTTTACAGGTATTGTTAACAAGTGTTGGAAAATTTAAATTTAGCGCCTTTGCATCTCCGGATATGTCCGCCATCAGAGGCCACTTTTTTGGTCTCCTTTTCATAACGATTAGATTCCCTCTTTTATCTTTTTGCTCGATGAAATAAACATACTGTTGCAATACAGGTCCGTTCTTCCCGTGCTACAGAGAAAACAGATGCAAAGCAGTCCGTGCATCTCTTTCTTATGGGCCCATTTATCAATAAGCCATTCCATTGGTCATTTAGGTGACGTGTTCGATAAACCCGGTCAATTAAAACGAGATGGAGGAACTGCTTTGTGTCAGTTTTCTCTGTCGCGCTGAGAGAACGAACCTGTATTGCTAGAATCACTATTTTTGTATTATATATCTATGGGCATGACGGTATTATTATAGAAATATATTATCTGTCTACTGGTATTAAACAAATGGCTGTAGATATGGCATTGTTAATATAAAGTTTAATTATAAACAAATAGTTTAAACATTTAAGTATTATCCAATTGAGCATAAAATAAAATTTATGGAATACTACTTCAACACTAAGGTAAAAGTATACAATTTTTTAGCATAAGGAGCCTCAGACAATTGCAATAGAGTTGATCTAATCCGCTCTAGCCCATATGGCAAAAATTATGCTCGGGGAGAACGTTAGTTATCAGATTTTAAAAATGACACTGTCAATCACTCTCAGCACGAGAATTAGCAAGATAGCTGTATATATTACCGATTAACTTTTAAATGCTCTAAAAGACAAAGATATTCCGTTAACAGTTGTTCGAAGATTTATTATTTTGTAGAAGTATAAACAATTGTTTCAGGTTGTGAATAATTTTAGAATAGTGAATAACATTGACTATAAAAAATATGTTGGTATATTTTCAGCGGAATCAAAATAAATATCACGATCTCCAAAGCATTTTTAGCTATTTGGACTCAATGTAGTAGTATAAAGAAAGGTTTTCGGAGCCCAAAAATTTTGTAAATGCGTTTGATGTGCACTTTAAACATAATGATACAAAAAAGCATATAACAACTTATAATGTAAGAAACATACCTGAACATATCATTTTTTAAAATTAATGGGAAAATCCCAGTAGTTGGCTGTATACCATAGTTTAAAAAAACACAGAAGTTAAAATACTTAACACTTATATTGTGGTATAAAAACACATAGTTAAAACTTTTTAAGAAAGTGTCGTCAAAATTTATGTACTAGCTTAACGTTTTCGATCAGAACAGATCATTCTCAGGGCCTTGTGTAATTAAAGCTCACAATAAAGTTATCGCTGAGACCTTCATATATGCGTATAGTCAAAAACTGCAAAAATATTCTGTTTCGATAATCAGAAAATTTTGGAATCTTATATCACAAAGCGAAACAAAAGTGGATTACTACTTTTCCCACTTTGCGAAAAATATTTCAACATGCAAAAAACCTGAAATCCTAATTCTCGTTTATGACTAAACAAAATATGAAGTCAAAAGTTTAATCAGCACTGCAACAACATGAGTTGTAAAAAACACACAGGTGTCCCATGTGTTTATTTTTTAGAAACGATTAATATGACCAGTTTTAACTTTTCTTCATACATATATTGTTATAATAAATACATATTTAACGTAAAATTAATAAATCTCTACACCGTTTTATGGTAGAACTTGAAAGATGGAATTTGGTAGATGTGTTTTACAAAATTATGTGCGACTAATAACTTTGCCCGTCGCATGCGACGGATGATCCAAACAATTGCCATCTACAGTCAGTCCTTAAATTTTTAAAATAATAAACTTTTTGCATATAATCCAAGTAAATATAAAGTTTGATAGGGTGCACTGTTGACCTGACATCATGCTTTTTTACTATACCCTGTATATTTACATTGATGACACGCTATATACATTATATGTACTATACGTCTCACGCTGTTTAATTTGATGTGTTATATACTAGTATGATGCTAGGTATTTATTTTGCACTTAACCCTGCTGTCCTGTTCGGGTCTATTTGACCCAAAAAAAAAATTATTTCTTATTTTACAAATTATTACGCGGCGTAACGTTTTGGTGTTTCGTGACTTTATTACTTAATATGAGGTCTTTCAATTGCATAAAAGATAAAAAATCAACTTGCTCATTTTTTTGATAAAAATTAAATTGTTACCTATGGTACGCTCGGGTCAATATGACCCACTTATTTAAACCGTTAAAAATTACCTGTATAGGTATGTTTAGTTGGTAGTATTTTATATTTTCTAATAGTGTTGGTCAGTCAGGTACGTCTATAAATAAAATCAAGTTTCTACAAGCTAGAACTTGTAAAATATGTGTAGTGTAGCTGGACGATGTCAGGTAGAATGGCATGTCACGTAAAAGGAAGTGGGGGTGATAGACAAGTGGTAAAACACTAATATTCCAAGGCCAAGCGCATTCATTTATTCGTTTATATTTCAAATTTTGAGTCTATGTTTGCATGTTGATAATGTCGCACCGTAGAGCGCTAACCGAAGATGAGCTTCGCGAGCTCGCGAACGTGTCAGAGAGTGATGAGTGCATATCAGAAACAGAAAACAATACAAGTAGTGAGAGTGAGGAAGAAAGTAGTGATGAATCCTTTGGTGTTCCATTCTACGTACAACATCCTGTAGAACCTTCTGTAACGGTTCCTTCAAAAGACGATACTATCCAATGGTCGCTCGATCCTCCTTATCAACGCGGTCGTTTTTCTACGGCCAATGTTATAAATAATGCTCCAGGAGTTACAAGGTACGCATGTGCACGAATTTTCGATATTAAAAATTCATCTGACGCACTCTTTTCTGACATAGTTGCAAACCAAATTATAAATATGACCAACATGGAAGGACAGCGTGTTTTTGGAAACAACTGGAAAGACTTAGATAAAATTGGTTTTCAAGCATACATTGGTCTGTTATTGTTAGCTGGAGTTTTTAAGTCCCATGGTGAATCAACTAAAAGTTTGTGGAATGAAGAAACGGGTCGTAGTATATTTCGAGC